ATATTATACTGTACTCTGCTAGATTCAATAGCCATAAATACGATCATGTAGACAGAAGAACATAAATTCCTGTTCCAAAAACAACCATATAAAAACTTGACATTGGTGAGCCCTCAATACATAGGAACGTCTCTTACAAAGTTCCTGATGTGATCCTATTTGCCATATATTGAGGAAGACCCTGGGAGCTAGAATGGGTGTCCCATGTAAACATTGAGATATTGTCATAATGTCTCCAATATGGCAAACAGACAATGTGGCATACACTTTTCTAAGTTGAGGAAAGGTTGTGCACTCACTCCATTCACTGCACTCACTCTGTTCAGTGTACTTCTCTTTCAACTGGAATGGCCTAGTTGAATGTTGTTATGCTGCACTGCTAGATTCAATAGGATGCATCCATCTAAAGAGAAGAAAGTGTCTATTTCCATTCCAAAGGAATGGGTGACCCTGGACTTTGAGAGTATGTGGCTAACCACATTTTTTGTAATTTCTCAACTGCACTTTGAAACATTTTTAAAAACAGTTCTTTAGTAAAGGATAGCTAAGAGCAGTAAACTGATTTTGAGCAATTTTTAATAGTTCTCTGGCTTGAAGATCAAAGCTAATTCTCCCCACTACATAAACCTCTTCTCAGATAATACATTACATCACTACAAAGTGCCTAGCTTTGGAAACAAGGCCAAATTAATTCTTCTCATGAATCCCAAGCGAATTTGTACTCATTCCTTCAAGATGGCAAAATGATTAAATGTTCATGACTTCAAGGGTTCTTTAAATGCAATGAAAGGAAGCACTTCCAGACAGATATTGGGGGCACTTCCAGACAGATGACTTATAGAACTACCAATTCAAGATGTTGTGCAGTTATTCTGTCATATTCATAGTAGATTTCTGTAATAAGATTAAAAGACAGAAGGAAAAACACCAAAGAGTTGCACTGGAAGAAAGCATCTATGTGTATGCACAACTCATAAAATTCCATGTTCAAGGCAAGATTATTGCACAATAAAAACTTCATGTGGAAGCACCCAAGATCTTTAGGAAAACTTTACATACCTAAGCAATCACAAATTGATCTGGAAAAAAAGGGAAATGCAGAAAGCCCACAACTTTTGCATCCAGTTAATCTGCAACTCCAAGCCATTGTAGAGCTAGGCATTGTAAAAACCAAACCAAACCAAACCAACTATAAGGGAAAAATTAGGTGAGGCAGGGAGATCAAGGTTCAAATATATCCAACGGGCCCAAAAATGTGTCATAAGCCCCATGCTCCCAGAGGACATTTGGGAGAAGAAATTTGACTCTCAGGAGGCCTGTGTGCCAGTAAAATGGCTCTGGGAGCAACTGCATTTCACCAACCCCTGACTGGCATCAGCCCTCCAGAGCTGCAGAGAGAAATGGATGGAAATGCCAAGGACTCAACTTTTGGCATGCAAAATATGTAGTCTAGTACTAGGGTTTGACTCTTCCCCTGTTATGAGTGTGAAGATATTTTCACCACATGGTTTTCAATATTCTGATCAGAAGAAGAAAAGGTTATTTGTGTCTGGTTTAGTTTTGTCACTGTTATTTCTCCAGTTTTGTTAGGATTACCTTACTTAAATGATTTCCTATACCTCAAAATGAATAAGTAAACAGAAAGTAAAGAATGTGGGGTGAGTGTAGCTCAATGGTAAAGCAACTGCTTTGTATGCAGAAAATTGTAGGTTTAATCCCAGGCATTTTTATACAAAAGAAAAGGATCCATACTATTGTTACCTAGATTGTCATCAGGACCCCAGGTAATGGGAAAGAACTTTGTCTGAATCCTTGTCTGCACTGGCCAGGATACTCTGGGGACTGATAACAATAATCTAGGTCACAGCAGTATGGACATTTATCTGAGCATGTTTTTTAACCAATTATGGGTCCATCGGTCTATTCCATGAGATTATGTATATGTAAATACATTTAGGCTGTGTGTATGATATGTCATGTAAGATAATTTTAATTTTGCTAGTTTTTTGTGTCACAACTATTGCCATTACATTCAGTGATATATGGGGATTATAATTTATGATTAATGTCAGTACAAAAAACATTACTAAGGATTCTGTATCGTGTGGTGTGGGAAACCAATGACCCCATTGTGACACTAGGAGTTACCACACCAGATGACACTAACCTTAGTGGCCTACTGACTGGCCTGTAGTTCCTTTTTTTACTTTTTTGAAGTGAAGTACATCATGTGGCACCTCAGAGTTTTCAAAAATGATGGTGAATGGTAAAAAGAGTACATTATCAGGTTTCTTCAGAACTCTGAGATACAGTTCATCTGGGGGTGATTCCTGACTAATTAGTTACCAATTTTGATTTGCAATCCAGCTTCATTGCAAAGGTCTCTGCTGATGCATAGAAGCACACAACCTTCTTTGGGCGGGGGATGAAGCAACATAGGCATTGAGCAGATCTGTCTTTTTGTTATGCTCTATTAGAATTTTGAAATTCTTGCTAGCAATGTTTGCATCATTTCCTTGGTCATTTCCTTGCTTTTAACATATTTGAAGTTCCCCTTCTGTTGATTCTAGTTTCCCTTCCTTGGTGATTCATCTTCCTTCCTTCCTTCCTTCCTTCCTTCCTTCCTTCCTTCCTTCCTTCCTTCCTTTATACATGTTATTTTTTTCTTTTAACCTTAATATGCTGAAGTGTACACACCCAGGCCTCTAGCTGCTGGACCTTCTTTTTCAACAGGGCTACCAACTTGCACTTGGTTCAGGTGAAGTTATCCACATCCATAGGTAAGAACACAAACATACCACAACTGTTGCAGGTGACTGCAGCAGAACCCTCACTGTCCATGTTCAGAAGTAATAAGTAGGCAGTGAAACAGGACACTGGGCTCCCCCTTCAAAAACTCCCCCATTAAACACCCCTGTTGGCCTGGTCTGTTTGAAAACATCTGTCACTGAGCTCATGAGACTGGGACTATAGCTATCTAGAATGCTAGTGGCTGCTAGCTCCTTCCCCAGGCAAGTCTCTGACTCACTTCCTGTGAGCAAAAGCCCCTCACAAGCCCCTTAAA